AGTCGGCATTCGCTAAACATTTCCACTTCTTGTAAACATCGACAATTTGTGTGGTGTGGTGTGGCGACGTCTGAGGGCGCAGACATATTGGACCACGCTGCCTTTAGCCGATTCTCTGACTCTCTGTGTTCCAATGGCATGCGAGGAAGATAGGCAGCCACACCTGATTGGTCAATAAAGTCTGTTCTGTTGTACCAGTCTTATACTAGTGCTCGGGTATTCAACAGTGGCGCCGTATAAGGGCGCAGACATATTGGACCTCGCTGGCCTCAGCCAATCCTCTGTCTCTCTGCGATCCAATGGCATGCGAGGAAGACAAGCAGCCAACCAGAGAAGGGCACGACTGAGGCGCAGTATATAATGAGTGGCGTGGCCAGCGTGGTGGACTCGGATGGAAGGCGCCTGACACGTGGTTCTGGCTTCTGATTGGTCAATAAGGCCTGTTCTGTCGTAATAGTCTTCTTCATACTAGGGCTCGGGTATTCTACATTTGCATCTGCTCCAATTTTAAAGCCCCATGCACACTACTTTACACTCACTCCTCCTATTGGCCAACACTTCTCCCAATTAGAGCGCGCTATGGATTTGATTGGATGTTGAGGCAGCCAATAGTGACGTAGAAGATAGAATCGAGGATCACTAATGAGAAACTTACCCATTTTCAAATCACACAGACTCGGATTTTTCAAGGAAGCCAAAACATCTTCTAGGGCGAGGTAGACTTCTGAAATTGAAAAAAAAATCGTTGCAGAATCACTCTGAGTCTTCGATTGGTCTAAAAAAGCATAACCGTCAGCTCTCTTCGGTGTGATTAATTTAACGCGTGGCGTTACGCTCTGCGCCGCATTGTCTTGCCCCGATAACGTTGCTAATCCTGTTATTGGGCATCTAACCCATTACAACACAGTCGGAGACTTCATTTAACGCCAGAACGTTATATTATTATACTACGTAAAAATAGGAAGTAGGTATCACGAAATTGACAAACCTGATGTGGATGGGTCGACGAATAAGCCGTGAAATGCGGGTAGAATAGGCCGGAGCTTGGTCACTGATGGAGGGGCGTCTTCTGCAAAGACACGGCGGTAGAAATTGGCCTCCCGAACGCCTCGTCCACCCGGTTGCAACTTCTTGTACACAATCTGTTTTGCGGGGTGCCAAAGAACTAAGAAAGTGCATGAATTCACGATCAGAAACCAATACGATAGAACTACTTTTAACAGAGATTTTGACCCTGATTTCACTGTTCTCTACGTGTGGATAGGGGATCGAATGCTTCGGAGTAAAATTTAGTATAGAAAAGAACAGAATTGGGCAGCTCTGAGTTAATACTGGCGTTAAGAACATGCGATCACATCACTTTACACGAAATGCTGTAGTATCTAGAGTTATAGCACTACCTTACAACCCTCTAGTTAACAGCCCGTAACTACCCGAGAATAGAGTGAAGAGAGGCGACAGAGGACACGACCGTCTATTAGCGTCACGCCGGCCAAGCGTGTCTTAGCGTGTAGATGAGTGAATGGATGACAGGTATCGAATACAGTAACCAATGAAAACGGGATGAGTCATTGTCACCGTCAGGTGAATAAACAGGGTTCACTGAGGCGCGATCGCCGTTAATCCGCCATGGTTGGTGGTGGCACTTTCAGAACAGAAGAATGATTTTCGATGGCAAATTACAAGTGGCTGGTGGTGAAGCTTCAGATCTGCAATGTGGTGGACTGTCAGCCAATAGAATCTCGCCCGAACAGGCTTTTCAGTCATTCGATGTTCTGCGAGCGAAGAGGGTGGTCATCTGGTGTGATTAGACGTCAGCATGCATACGAGTAACTGACATTCACGTCAGCAGAATCGAACTCACGAACTCACGAACGTGTGCTTGTGCAAACTATCTTCATAGACGACGTGATCGCCAAGTATTGACAATTCCTAGGATTGCGATGTGGCTAGTCCAACCTACAACCTTCACAGCCGATTACCCGTCGCACCCAACGAGCTAAAAGATCGTCTAGAACATTCGCAGGAAGCGAAGTGGATGAAGACTTGGTCGAGACCATAGAAATTGCTAGGGTTGTACGCCTGACGCCCCGAGAAATAAGTAATCGCGGTATTTCGAATGCAGCCGCTACCTCTCCACGAAACCTCCACGATTCCATCACGTGCTGATATCGTCGAGTTTTTGGCAGTTCAGCTGGCAAATGCTAAACGCCCCAAGTTTGTATCCAACCGCACACCAGTCGAAATGACGAGCACGCCAGACGGTAGTGGTGGATCGTGCCTGCGGGTTGACGATGTATAGACCCACTTATGCTACTCACATCTACCAAGCCCATAAACCGTGTCGGCTGCGATGTCACTAGTGCTGCCTAGGGTATCACGAGTCGAGGAATTGTCCAGACATGATCGTCTTGAATGCATTCCACGTAAGCCTACAGACATTGGTGAAATGTAGACATTATCTCATCCCCAGATATCGATAGCTTACAAATCCGAACTTTGAGAGACCACGAAAAGGGTGTGAGCAGAGGGTCGTAGATCGTTGTCTACGCCCACCACCACACAATTAGCCCACGTTTTTCCAAAGAAAAAACCCACGAGCTTACTGGTGCAGCCTGCTGAATTAGGCGTGGAGCCATGCCCGCCAATTTGATGCTGATAAGGCAGGAGGTCTTTGGGGAGAGAGGGCAGAGGGTTAGGATCCAAGTCGCCTTCTAACTCAGATGCCTTCATGGGATACCTAACAGAAGAGAGAAACGATCTCAAAATCAGGCCTAGGGGGACGAGTTTACGTGTGCGTGTGTGTGTGAGGCCTCTACCAGACTCGATCGACCTTGGGAATCAGCCGACTACGGATTATTGATTTCCTTTAGAGCAAAGGTGTTGAACTGGCCCGAAGACTCTACACTGATATCCGCGAAGATCAAGACCAGAGACACAACGGTCTATTAGACAGCTCAACCTAGTTGTTTGTCGCGCCACTGCGCATAAAATATCGTGTCTGACTAAATGGGGTTGTTGATCAATCCGGAAAGTACGAATGAATGAATGGAACGGCTTGCTTGGGGGGTTATGAGCAGACGGTTTCGCAGGATCGATAAGGATGCCGAAAAAAAGGAGGTCAGGATGGCGGGTTAATAAAAGTGAACCAGCATGATTAACTACAAAAGCAGGTACTACCACCCCATGTCCAGCCCAACAAGGCCTACCAAAAGAGAATTATGATGGTACTGCTGATGCTTGACATAAAACCACACTACCAACGTTGGATTCTACTTGCTCGTCCCGGACAGAAAGCGAATGGAGACGAACAACGCGGACAAGATGCATGGAAAATGGCTTCCAACAGCTTGACTCTCTTCGTCCCAAATTATCCCGGCCTCTCACACCATCAGACAAACCGTTAAGAAAAGTAAATAGACCAATTGGCTGAAAACAGTCGCGCCTTTTGCTACAAGTAACTTTATTTACAGACTGGGGTTGTACAAGCGGCGTGGAATCACTCGTAACCCGAGGACTGAAGGTACTTGTCCTTGAAGTCGGCGGGTCTGGTCAGGGTGAGGAAGGTCCGCGACACGATGGGAGCCGGATCCACCATCGTGGAGAGAGGCGTCTCGGACGCATACTTCGCACAAATCAACACCACGAGGGACTGCGGGCGCAGCTGCATGTACACGCTGCTGGCGAAACTTGCAAACGCGCTGGCCTCCTTCTACAAACGAAAAAAGCACGAAGCGCGTAGGGAGAATTGTTGGTGACAGGCATATTCAAAGCGGGAGTGAACCAGTGGCAAAAGAGGGCCAAATGATGCGTGGAGATGAACTGGTCAACCAATGAGGAAACAGAAAATGAACTGTTATATTCGCGGAAAAACAAAACCCGACTTGCCTGCTTGGTCCAATCCGCCGGCCGACCAACCCGGGTCATGAGAAACTTGACCTGCTGCGAGGTCTCCGCTATCCACTTGGCCGCCTTCTTTCCCGGTCGTTTGAGCAGCGGCACGGTGGTGGTGGTGGTGGCGTCAGGCGGCGTCACGCCCTCCTCCGGCTTCAAGGCCGCGTTAGCATTGGTTGGCGATGGCGCCGGTGCTTTGACAAGTTGAACGTGGTTGGCGACCTTGAGGTCGGCCAGTAGACGATCCACGAGGTGTACGGGCGGGGAGGGGTCGGTGTACAGACGACAGAGGTAGGAGACGTAGGGACGCAGGGACTGCGGCACGGTAAACGAGCCCCTCGCGACCAGCTCAGTGAGGTGGGCAACGGTGGACCGCTAGTTAAAAAGAGGGTTTTGTTTGAAGGTGACTGGTGTTACAAGCCTCACGGCGACATCCCAACAGAGCTCTTTACCTGTTTCTGACCGTCCTCCTCGTTGCGTAGAGGCTGCGCTTCGACGATAGGCGGTGCGCTCAGGTAATTTTCTGGAAAACGCCAGGGTGTTGTAACGTCGCCAAACTCCAGAGCTGGAAGGAATGGAAGAAAAGGTTGGTGTGGAGTGAAATAAAGGACTTTGCAGGGGTTGTGCCGATTTTTTTAGTGCAAATTGCGATCCCAATCCTAGGAGGGATTCTGTTTTGAGGCAGGAAGGAACGATTGAAGGTCCACCGCGACGACAACACGATCACCGTCAGGGCTTAGTGTTGAAACAAGCCCCTAGCAATTCACCTTTCAACGGCCAAATTACAAAGTTTATAGCTTCTCTTTCGTTGGAAATTTGACTGAATATTAAGACCTGTCTGTGGAAATACTGTGTCGAGGAAAATGAGTATTTGTGGACTGCGACTGAAGTTTCTAAGGACCGCTTCCGTTGTTCTGTCGACGGCGATTTGTAGATAATGCAGAAACACCTTCGATTCTTTACGTAACTCGGAAATGAACTATCAAGTTAGCTACGAATAGGGGTAATGTCTGCCGTAGAGGAAATACAGTAGTTGGCTTCACTAGAAGCATCCTCGACAAGAACCACAGTACTTCGTGAGCTGAGCCAGCTTTAGAAAGAGGGCCTTAGCCGAACGTACATTGGCTGAGTTTCAATCGGACGAGGTCCAACGTGGCTTTGGCGTCCTCTGCCGACGAGTGGCCCTTGTGGCCACTTTGGATGGTGCGTCTAAAAGTTCGTAAAAAGAACCACAAGTCAACACACGCGGGGTTATCAGTGAACTAGGGGGTGTGAACCACGGTTGCATTTTGGCGGAAATAGTACGCCAACTAAGCATATTTTTGAAATAACAGAAAAATTTTGTTGCTACAAATCACTGTTTTAGGTCAAACAGACATTTCTAAACACTGGCAAACACACTGCCCCAGATAAGCTAACTACGAACTAGAAGGATGCAAAGAGCGAGTAATGAGAATTCGACGTAAGGAGGAGATTTTTCCCCACAAAACTCACCCCAGAAAGGCGAGAGCCAGATTCCGCAATCTCGGCTTTCCAGATCGCACCTGCGACATGTTGTAGATTACGCTGGTGTCGATTATGTATGGATGAAAAACCTACAAGACAAGTTGCGAAGGCAACAGTAGGGACACTTTCGTCAACTGAAACAGGATCAATTTAATGCTGCTAAAAGACGGAAAAACATTTTGACTGACGAATTGAGCTTGTAATAGCATAATCGGTACAAAACGATTGAGAGGAGGAAATCGATGCATGAGGAGAAAACATGCGTTTGGCTGGCTAAAACCAAGACAATGTAAACATGCCTTGTCTTATCTTTAACGTGGTCATTTTTGCTCAGTGCTATAAAAAATTTGGCGAATTTTTCGCTGCATAGAAGGTCCATTTAGGAATTAAACTGTGTTAAGGCTCGGCCGAAAATTCACACCGCCAAAGGGAGGTGGTGTTCAGATCCATATGCTCCATTTTGAACTACAAGTCACAAGTTAGTGAAGCGGATTTATTTAACCCCGAACCTCGTAGATACTATGCCTTGTTATACACACTTAAAAATTACACAGAAGACCCAAATACGGCAGACGAAGACTGCAACTTACTTTAAGGGCCTTCAGGTCATTTGTAATCGAGTGGCCCACGAGGATAGCGTCGGGAGGAATAAGCTCACCAAGTTCGTCACGTACCTCTTCGAGACGTGTGTCGATGCTTGCTAGCATGTCGCGAGTGATACCACTGAATCTACATAAAAAACGAGGTACAAAGGTGGAGGCGGGATCAATCAGTGTGAGAAGGATAAAACTTAAACAGTTGAGAGTTGTACCTGGTGAGATAGTCCTCGACTGGGTTGGGCGGCTTGACAAGTTTATCCAGCAGGACACAGCCAATCTCATCGACCATGGTCACTCGGGCAAGTTCACTGCCTGCTTTGGTGAGGACCATTTCACAATCCAGCGCGAACATTGGACTATGCGCGGTCACTGGCTCAAATTCCTTCTGTAGGCAAAATCAGCATGCTACTTTCAAATTTGCAGTGCATTTAAGTGAGAAAATACCCCAAACCGACCAAGTGCATTTCCACGCCTACACGAGTCAAGACAGGTTTATCTAACAGCATAAATATCCACGCAACATAGACGCAAGATTCAGGTTTCTAAATCATCGTTTCAACGGACTTAAAACAACCAATCTTGAAATCTGGTTTTTTTTTTGATCAGAAAACAATGCATCCTTATAAAGTTGAACACACTGGAATAGCTTCATCGTCAGGAAAAAAACATGCGCAATATTGCAGTTGTGGTAAAAATTTAAACACGTAGTTGCCAGAGGTACCTTGAGCGTTACGAAGGAGTTCCACTCGTTTTGCCAGGTATTTCCTGCTTCTTCCTTAGGCAAAGGAATATTCTCATCGAGCATCTGATCAATGTTTAGCAAAAGAGAGGTTCGATCAAATATGTCCCCACTCAGGGGATCTGGAATAGGAAACGGCGAAGATAACTTGGGGCGTTTAGATTCGAGCTCTGCAACCCTGTGGTGCTTGTTTGCGATTAAATTGGAAAGAGATACCGCAGATACATCAATACTTCTCTTCGGGCCGATTGGAGTAGTTACCGCTTTTCCTGCGACTTTAAAAACAGCAACTATTATTGGAAAGATTGATATTTAAATACGGTAAATAAAAATTGATGTATTACGAGCCATTTCCTGGGCGTGGAACGAAAGGAATGAAGAAGGTACCATAAGTAGCTCGTGTTCCCACGATGAGTCATAATTTAATGGTGAGTAGACTTGAACCATCTAGAATTGATGAGGCAACAAGAAATTATACATTACCTTATCAAACATTTCTGAAAAGAGCGATGAATCCGACAAGTCACCGGGGTCCCCATCATACACAACAACAACGACTGACTTCACCAAAAGTGGCTTTTTTAAAACAACCCACCTTTCGAAAAATGCCAACAAGACTTGTCAACCCACCTTGGCCACTGCTTGTAGTGTTGAGGGATAAAGGTTAAGCCCAACAATTTCTGTAACTCAATAGCATTGAAAGGCCGTTTAGTTTTTTGATCGGGGTTTAAAAACAATACTGGGCGCTTAAAAATTAATTGCCAAAACTCAAATTACCTTTTCTTTGTTCTTTTTTTCTTGAAATGTATCAGCCACATGTGGCGAAGTACAATCTGTTGATGAATCCATGTTTTGATTAATCGCCGGATCAAAGACAAAGTGACCGCCAATCGGAATAAATTACTCAAATACATTTGAAAGGTCGAAACGACTAAATTAATTTGGATTATTCTTAGCTATTTTGATGGTCTTACTGACTTCTAGTAACAAACACTCAAGTTTTTATTAGTAATAGTGTTCGAGACCGAGTGATCACGTTGGAGAGTGCCTGACCGAGTTGATAACCAACACTATCGTTCACAATGAAAACGTCATCTCTAATAAATGTGCGTAAATTCTAGATAATTTAATTAGAAAATAGTTTTTTGAAATAAAACTACATTTAGAAATTGTACGAGGAAGTATTTTTTAATAGGATATAATCCCCCTTGAATGGACAAATTTGTTTACACTAGAGATTTATAGTAGGCAGTTCGTTTGAGTTTCCAAAATGCTCATTCGATTGTTCTTGTCGCCTTTCATCTCATTAAGCAGGTTGTTTTTTTATTACTTCATGGCTGCATGATTCTCTGTTGAATTAAATATTGATTTTTTTGTGTATACAAGTTATGCTTTTTAACAGTTGATGATCTAACTGTTCGCTCCATCAATAAAAATTCACTAATTTTAAACAATTAACGTCACCCCCATGCTTAAGTGTGAATTAGTGACCTATTAATTTGCAGTCGTCACCACGATTCGAATCGAATAAATTATATCGACATACTATTTCTATCTTATTGCCCATTTTTTTATTTCCAAAAAACACATCGTGAACTAAAATTTAAAACCGTGCAGCTAAGGCAATCTTTTCAATGTTTTTTAACGGACTCAGCCATGTAATTGGTTATCATGTTGTCAGATTTCAGTTTTAATTCGCTATTGACTTAATTGACACCAATGACTAACACAAATTTTTATGCTTGCTTATAAATTACTGTTACTTTTCTAACTTCATGTATTTTCTTATAAATGTTACTATGCACAGCAGTGTCGAATAATATATTTTATAACGCACCTACGTATTGGGGATCGAAACGGATGGATAACCGTTAGCCCATCACCCTTAGATGGCCACATCATTCATATGATAGGAAAATGACAGGAAGAACCAGATGAATTCCTTGTAGAGGGGCTAGAGCCTAGGAGGAGAGTTAGAGCTGGAGGATGAAGGGGATGGTCGTGGGGAGGGTCGGCGTTGCCCTCAGGCCCACGGGAGTGCAGAGAACAGGCAAGACCGGCGTGAGTGCGTCAAACGGCGCATATTCGCATTTTAAAAATGGTGTACACTGTCATTTGGCTTTAAGTATAATTGGCATGTGTAAAACCCCATTCACATGTAATTTTTTTAACAAATATATTTTTCTAGCCACCATCACCATATTCTTAGTACAGGTACCTCTACAAGTCAATATGCTGTCAAGGAACAGACATCTGGGCCTGTACATTTCACGATTTTAGTCGATTTAATGTTGCAATCTTTTTCAGTTTAAATGTCAAATTATCACTTTAAGATTTTGCTCGAACACGTCAAACATCTTACTAAAGCTGTTTAAGTGACATCGTAATTTGTAATCTTTAACCCCGTTATTCTGAACCCCCAAATCTTTAGATCTGTTTTATTAACGAGCGCGTTTATTACCATTTTCTTCAGAAGACCTTTCTGACTAAAAAAGACTGAAACTTGAAATGGTCTTCGATGTGTTATTCAAAAATTCTACTCAAAAACTGCAGCTTATATAACTGTGGATTAAAGGAACCGCGGGAAGAAAGGCATTATGCGATCTACACCTCAGCCCGAATTTGGGATCCCGCGCCCATTTGAATGTGATTTGTGTTGAGGTCTGCCTCACCACCAGGCGCTTTTGATAATTTTTTTTGACAGTGGCTGCATTATCGTTGGGTTGGATCCATCCCAGGATTGGAAGTACGAGGCGATCATGAGGTTTGTGCAACTGGCAACTTTTATCCATTTTCGCCTTGGATCTTTTGCTCGACGTCATCCTCGACGTCTGCAACAGACTCGGCGGTCTACTTAAAATACACTTCGCTTCCTTTTTCACCTTTCATGCTGGCTACCAGTGAAACCCTGACGCCATGTGTTGTGAAATGCCACAACTGGACGCAATCCACAACTGGACTTAGTGCTGTTGTGATGCCTTCGCAAGAACCACTTTACCAATTACGTTTTGTTGACTCCTCAAAGCAGGAATTTCCTTACTTGAGACCTTCTCGTGCATGGGCCAACCACTTCCTTCCACAGTCGCAATTAACAGAACTGTATACATTGAATTATTTTCTCAATTTTCGCGATTTCCAAGCCTGTGTCTAATCAAGGTGTCTATATTTTGTGTTTCAGTTCTTTTTGGTAAGTCATTGACTTTAGGAATACTTGATGCGAGAGCTTGTGAGGCATGAGTCTGTGAATCCAAGTCCTACACATTTCCCAAATTAAATTTGTGATGATTAGAGTGTCTTATTTCGGGCGTAATTGTGCATTTCCTACGATCCACCGTCGGCGTGATTAAAATCTGCGACAAAATCACTCACACTGTCGAAAATTAGGCTCTCTAGTCAATTCCCCTATTCACCATACCCGACTAAGGCCCTGTGTGTCATAGTTGCTGGCGAAATCCAAGTGCTTATTATAGGTCCTGGGATTTAGGCTCTTTGTCCAACGCAACCTCCAAACACGCGTTAATGCGTTTCAAACAATGCACTATATACATAGGAAGCTTACTTCTCTTGAATCATTTAAAAGCATAATCACACAGAAACTTGCATGAACACATTTACAGCGACCCGGAGACATTAGAGGTTTCAAATGAAGTTCAAGATCATAGACTTGCGCGTGTCTCCTTTTTTTTCATTTTATTAAAACAACTGGCGCTATAATTTGCCGTCCACAAATACTAGACTGTATTAGCAAACTAGCAAGAAAAGGATAGTAGCTGTAGTACTGACAAATAAAATGCAACCTTCTCAGAAATGGCGCGGATTGAATTCAGCCAATCAGAGAACTGATCGATTTCTTAAGACTCCATGTAGGACGGTGTTATATTGAGACGTTCTGGAACCCTTCCTGATTTACTGATGATTACATTTCAAATATCAGTGCCATGACGCCCAATCATTGGTGCAGACTCTGGAACTTCCATACCACTGGCCTATTCCGTGGCGTCTTCTGACTTAAAGTCAAGATTAGTCAGTCGGTGGGAAATGATTGATAAGCATAATTCTGCTGCTACAAAAACCAACACAGAAACCGGCGATCTGCCAAAAGCGAACACACTTTTGCACGGTTTCTACAATCAAATAGGAAACTGCCTTTAAACAGTGACAGAATCCTGTAGCATTTTTCAGTCCTTGTGACCGCCAATTACAAGGCCACTGATTACATATGTAATTGATTAAAATAATGAAATTGGCTAAACCATTTAGCAACTGTCATAGGGACAGAAGCCCGTTCCAAATAAACGTGCAATTCAGATGCTCCCTCCCTCCCTTTAATCCACTTTTACACACTTGCCAATTAAACATCGTCGAATTTACACGAAGGCCGATGTGCGCAGTGGTGCCCCCTATTTTAGACGCCATGTCGTGTTTTTATCGGTGTTTTGATTGTGCGCCAGGTTTGATAATTTTAGCAGGAGTGGTTGAGGCATGCCGTAAATGATTCATGCATTTGCTTCTTATAAAAAAGGCATAAACACCTATTTGAAGGCGCCTCCGAAAGCACATAAACTCCTCTACAGTCAAGTGGACCATCGATTACCTCAAGTGCCCTATTCACAGACAGGCTCACACCAAATTGTATCGCGGCTGGTCCAATTAGCGGTAAGTATTGCTACAATCACCTTCAGGGTTTCCTTCCACTAACCTGATTGGCTGCCTGTAGGATCACGAGATTTTCAGGGCCACGAGCGGGACATTTGCACTACAATCACGTGGTACACCTGGCCTCACCTCTCTCCTTGCTGCGTGAGTCATCCGGCTTGGATTCTTCGTCAGGTTTGCGCATTTTTTTTGCAGTCGACTGAGTATTTACGCAGCATCTCCTCTGGGTTTGGACCAGTTGCAGCCCGATTTCCGGTTTCCGACCAGCGAGAGACCAGTTCCTTTTTTGGGGGGGAGGGGGCAAGAAAAGGAAACTCATTGATTTGCAGGTTTCTGGGCAAAATTGGTGGTTCTAGGCCCTGCTCCACCCCACATTCCCGGACGCAGATTCAGTGTCATTTGCAAGGCGACTGGTTTGGGCCGTTTTACTTCCGGAAAAACACAAATTTCCATTAAAAACAGTCTGCTTAATTTGCAGAATTCTGCAAACTGCGCACACTGTAGGGCGATTTTAGCGTTAATTTCGACCCATACGAGAATCCCGTGTTAGGCACGGCATTTTTAACGTAATCATCGACTGG